TATCATGTAGGAGCCGGGAGCATTCTGGGCACAGGCCAGAGCTACTCCCTTTTCATGCACAGGCCTTTAAAACAGCTTGAATTTATTAGGGCTCTTAAGTGGCCCAGGCTAATGGCTCGGCCTGGATAATGTCTTGGTTTAATTGGTTATTGTGCAAGCTGCTTGTTTCTACCGTGGAATCCCCTGTTGCCGCCTTTGGAGCAATCCCTCACAGCTTCTGGAATCTATTCAGCCCTCACTCAGGCTCATGCTGGAAGCTGCCACTACACTGTGCCATCCCACAGGATTGCTTGGATCCCTAGAAACACCAGACTCCTGGTGGCACTCCCGCTGGGGTTCCCAGGTGTAGACATGCATGTTGTCATGGAGGGTGGGCTAGGGGCACCTCTGTGAATAACTGACTCTGTGAGTGCCTTTTCAAGGTAAAGGGAGAGGGATGGAGATAGAACCATGCAAGGATTTCCTTCTCATTTAGCATAGCAAGCTCAGCAGAGCAATAGTGGATTGCCCTCAGTCTGACCCAGCACCTGGGGTGAGGGATGCTACCAGTTGGAAAGACAACTCCTACAGAAGAAGGTGATATTTATATTTCTAAAAGCAGAGCCTAGATGGCATTTCTTTTCAAGGTCATAATATTTTTCTTAAGTCTTCCTAAATCTTTTGACCTTAAATATATTTGGTACTTGTTCTCCCCAAAGGTGTGGGGAATAGACTAACCTTTGTGATCCAGAATCAGTATGTCTAGGAGCTGCTTTAGAGCTGAGCACATGACAGTGTATTTAGGTATTCACATGTCGGTCTCCCCCACGGACCAGGAGCAGTTGGAGGCTGGACTGAGACTCCCTTGCCTGCATGCTCTAGACCCTAACATGGCTCCTACCAGGCCTTGCACCTCTCATTGATGTTAAATGAACATTCCCAGGAAGATAAAAGAAAGGAACACATTTAACTGTAAAGCCACAGTTTATTGATTTTTGTGTCTGCCATTTTTTATGTCCTCTTGCGTATCTGTACCTCATAAGTATTAGCCAAGATGATTTCATGCAGAAAGAATCCAGAAAATCAGGGGTTTTTTGAAGTACAGGGTAAAGTGTCTTTTTAAGTGGAATCTGCTATAGCATATCTGAAATTTTTATACTTAATACTGTAGCAATATGGAACCAAAACCTGATTAGCCTGTCCTGTGGCTGGCTTCTATCCCCTAACACAAAACTCACACATGGGATTTGCTGTATGTGATAAGTCAACTCTGACTCATGTATGGTGTTAGTTTAGTTTCCAAGGAGTTTTACTTATTGATTGAGGTATCTTTCATTTCTCTTTGAATTTCTGTAATGCTTTAGTTCTCGACTTCTGCTGTATTTGATGTTTTCTTCAAGTTGAACATTCTGCATATAATGATACCCGTTGATACTTTTTAGGAAAATGTGTTAAATTTAAGTTTGGTAAAGATTCTTTTTACTGAATCATTCACTCCTGGGCTGATTTCTCCCAAGGTACTAGTGAGAGGACAGCTGCCTGCACGAGCTATCTCCAGAATGCAATTCACAAACCCTGGCCCATGAACCATTAGAGCAAAAAGGGGCAATATTAGTACTTCTCTGTTGATTTACCTTACCTCACAGTTTTAACTGTATATTTTATTATGTAACATATTGACAAACTGATGAATTAATAGAGGTCTATAATTTATAAAGAAAATAACATAAAATGCATAGTCAATTTTATGACTGGTAGAGGTATGCAAGCAAGTATGCTTAGAGCCTTCTGCTCTTAGCATAGAGGTAGCTAGATGGGCAGTTTTCTGTCACAGAGTTCATGTCCAACTGAAGGGAAGAGAAAAGTCATGCTTCTCCCAGCTCTGTGCAGCAACTTGATGTCTCTCCTGGTTGAGGGGGAGAGAGAGAGCTTAGGAATATGGAGAGTGTATTCTCTGGCTCCACTGTCATTAAATTTGGTTCTTTGTCACTTTATTTAGTTTGTTCTCTCCAAAAAGGGCTCTCCAAGCCAGGCCAGACTGTCTTTACTAGGGAAAAGCCTTTACCATGACTTCTGAGTTATGGCTCAAGAAAGCAGGGAATGCGCCTTATTCTTGGCTGACTTCAACTCATACTTTGCACTTAAAATGTGTTGGTATTAGATTGCTTGACTTCAAGGTCATAGCCAATAGGCAGTTAAGAGTTTTTTTCAGTGGTCCCCCTGACAAGAAAACCGATGATGCCCTAGTATCCTTTGGCAGTCTTTGTTGATTGTACGGATAGGGTGTGGATTATACATTGTTGGGTACAATTACCTCCCAGAATACAATGCATCTTCTTTTAGACATCCCAGGGAGATAATTTGGATGTAATGAAGATCTATAGTAATCAGATAATTACTATCGATTGCTCTTTAGACGTCTTGATGAGGTAATTAGGGCATACTGGAAAGAAGCTAGAACTGATTGATTGGCATGACTGTAATCTCAAAGATTTCTAATTATGTTTCTTTTCTTCTAATGGCTTATAAACAAACATCATTTTGGCTTTAGAATTTGTCAGGTGCCAGGTTCACTGGGAACATCAGCTTTCTCTATTATGCTAACTAGACACCAAACATGATCAACATAAGCTCATTATGCCTTCCTGCTGAAGCAGAAGAAACTGCAATTAACCCTCACTTTTCTTCTTCTTCTTCTCGATTTCCACATGGCCAGATTCTTGTCAAGGAATGGGGTGTGCAGTGTTGTGAAGGGCATTCTGGTGGGCCATGTGTAACTCTGAGCTGGGTGGATCTGTGTGGCCTACTGGGGACCCTTGAGACCTGCTAGTGCAGACACAGCAGAGTCAGGGCACAGTGACACAACATATGTGTCAGGGTGGCCGGATGACTGCTCAGTCTCCTGTCACAAGTAATAGCTACTCATCTCATCACCAGCCACAGAAAAGAGCAGGTCAATATTGTCAGGCAGCTGAACCACGCGCTTCTCAACACGAGGGTGCTGTTGCCTCATCGCTTCAGTTAGACACTAATTAGAGGACTCCCTGTCGGAGACCGCATTCCACACTACCCTAGTGTTCCCTACGCCATAGGACCCTTAGCAGCTTGCATTGTCCAGGATAGTGAGTGGCCTAGTCCCAAGATGATGGAGGGTTACACCACAAAGCAGCAGCTTGAATGAGCTGTTTGCATCTCATCAATGATGTTGGTAAGCATTGCATTTACTGGGCCGGTGTGTGGGTTACCATTCATTCGACAAATGCAAAGTACATATGCTTCTGCTGTCAGTCTAGTTTCCTTACTGGAACTTCTACTGTGACCCATCTGATGTACTTTGTACCCTGATAGATTCCCAGTACATGCAGGAGGTATTCTCACTGAACACATGTGTTCTTGAACTCCCTCTTTATTAAAATATCACTGAAAAAATCATATTTTGACTTTTCATAAAATCCATTGTTTTCCTTGATCCTGATTTTTTAAAAAAAAAAAAGGACACAAATTATGCATCTTTTGTCACTAAAACCTTTAAGATGTAAGATTATTCTTGGCTGACTTCAACTCATACTTTACTACTTTAAGAGTAGTAAAGTTCAGGGGGACCGTTTGGTCAGGAAGGGAGAACCCGGATGTTTTGTTCACTGGTAACTTATGGCATGCTGCTGTGTGGATAATTGCAGCTGTTGTTGGAAATGCTTCATTAACTCCCATTAACAAGCTTGAGAAATGGAAGTAGATATAGAATTTGTCTTCTAGTTATATCTTTATACCATAAGTAAACTATGGAGCAAATTTTTGCATCAGTACAATTCTTTTTTTAATTAATTAATTTATTTATTATTTATATATGACAGCAGAATGCATTACCATTCTTATTGCACATATAGAGCACAATTTTTCATATCTCTGGTTGTATACAATGTATATTCACACCAATTTGTGTGTTCATAAAGGTACTTTGGATAATAATGATCATCACATTCCACCATCATTTCTAACCCCATGCCCCCCACCTTTTCCCTCCAACCCCTCTGCCCTATCTACAGTTCGTCTACTTGCAGGTAAATGGATAGAGTTAGAGAAGATAATGCTAAGTGAAGTTAGCCAATCCCAAAAAAACAAATGTCAAATGTTTTCTTTGATGTAAGGAGGCTAATTCATCAGAACAATTCTTAAAAAATGAGTTGTTCTTTTAAAACTTGAATCTAAGTAATGGGTAAACTTTAATCTGAGTAATTAGTAAAAAACTTGCTAATTTGTATCAAAATTTCTCCAAATAGAACATAAAATAAATATCTTCTATTTACTTTTGATAATTTGGTAATTATGCAGTGAATTATTTTAATAAAATTTTTTTTATTTCTGTACATAAAGAAGAATGAGGGAGGAAAAAGATGTCATGAGAGTAGAAGGTAGACAGGGTAGAAGGAAGAAATGGGAAAGAGGAGGGGAGGGGAGAGGAAGGTGCTGGCAAGTGAAATTGATCCAACTGTTCTGTGCATGTGTGACTATGCCACATTGAGACTTACTATTCTACATAATTAATATGCACCAATAAAGAAAACAAGAACTCAAACTAAACGTCTAAAATACATTCCAGATTTTTGTTGGCTCATTGGTTTTTATCAGTCCAACACATGTTTTAATTATTTTCCCATTTCCCTGAAAGTTAATTGAAATCTACTTTTTGTATCTACTTATCTATATTTTCTATGTATTTTTCCTTTTATTTATTTAGTTAAATAATCCACTTGCCAGTTGGTAAAGGCAGACTGAACTGCATTTGCTTCTGAGTAATTTGACATAAATTGCAGAAACAGTTTGTTAGTAGGGCCCAGTCCCATACAAAATGGCATGGGCCTCAGTGTGAGGGTCAGGGCTATAGAATTAGCTGCTCATGCTGTTGCTTAAACCAGGGTTGCTGCTCAGGAGGCACAAAGATGAAACACACTTTTAATAAAAGGACAGATAAAAGTGAGACAATTCTACAATGCGACTTGGTTTGGGGCATGTCGTTGCAGGAAGTTTTACAACTTGAGAGACAGATGGGAGGACAGCTTCTGGAGGAACCCAAGGCACTTCATTTTAAAGGAAGTACCCACAATTTGCGCCTATCCATTCATGACGTTGCCCATTCCCTCTGGAAGAGCAAATTGCTGGCTAAATATCAGGTAAGTTCACCACGCTGAACTAAAGGCTTGGAGACAGCTAGAAGAAAAATAACCGAAGTTATGTAGGCATAACCAATCCCCTTTCTTGAAAATGCTTTTATGTTAGTACTTGTTTCATCAAGAGTTTGGGATCTGCTGGGTGCTATAGCACACACCTGTAATCCCATTGGCTTGGGAGGCTGAGGCAGGAGGATTGTAAGTTCAGAGCCAGCCTCAGCAACTTAGCAAAGCACTTAGCAACTCAGCGAGACCCTATCTCTAATAAAATATTAAAAAGTGCTGGGGATGTGGCTCAGTGGTTAAGCATCCTTGGATTCAATCCCTAGTACCAAAAAAAAAAAAAGAGTTTGGGATCATTCAGGATTTTCATAAAATAGCTGATAGGCATATTTGAAGGAATGCTTTTCAAAACAATTATCCTTATAATTATATTACCTTTGTTGTATTTTTAATAAATAAGACCACTTCAATTTTATTTCAATTAATTTTCATATGGAATTCATTGAATTAAAACAACTTCAAAGGCACTCATAGGAATAATAGAGGACATCATACCCCTTGAGACACAAATTTGTCTTCAGCCTTGCTAGGACAGTACCCTTACATTGAAAACTTAGAAGGAAACTCAATTTGGGAATTGAAATGGCATGTAAAGTAAAACTTAGTCAGGATTTTATTAAGTCACAGGCATAAAGATACCGGTTCATCTCATTGGAGGTACCCGTGGAAAAATGGCAGAACTCTGGGGTTTTCACCTCCTCCTCTGTCAGTCAGCCTGTGCACTCTGAGACTTGATGCCCTGATGGACCACAGACCTCAACCCTGCCCATGAGATGCAGACGCAGTCAGAAAAGCTGTGAATCCACATCTGCACACATGCAAATCCAACCAACCCCAGTGTTGCTGCTGATCTGGTGGCTAGTTCCTGAAATAAGTCAATGAACACAACTAGAAGGACTGGAATTTCCTTTTCTCTCCCTTCTTACTTTCGTATGTCAAGTACTTACACATAGATTAAGAGAAGCAAATCTACTTCTTTGTTAAGAAACAGGAGCATGGGTGAGGGTTGCAGACTTCGCCCTTACCCATAGTTCAGCCCTGTTAGATGAGACTTTGACTTCCCATAACATCTCTTCCTTTGCTCACTTTCTTCATTCTTAAAATTCCACATTTCTTCCCTTTCATAAACAATTTCCCTGGTATAATCATAACTGAAAACACTTACTATCCTGCAAACACTCTCTTATGCACTTGGCTTATTTCGGTGAACCTAGCAGGTTCATGACTTAAGTAATCCTCTGCCCACTCTTTTACAGATGAGGAAACTGGGGCGTGAAAAGGTTAAGTAACTGGCCCCAAATTATCAAGTCAACAAGGGCAGGATGTTGTCAATCACACTGGATTTGGCATCAGAACCTCTGCCCTTAATCACCATGTTCTCCAATTTTTAATGTATCAATCAACTTTGTTGAAACAAGATTCTAAGATGGGTTCTTTAAGGTGCTCAAACTTTTAGAGAATTAATACCTGTTAGACATTTGGTGCTTTTTAGGCCAGGGACTTTTTTGGGACAGCTAAATGAGTCTACAGTTTTCAACTGTAGGGAATTTTGGCTGCCCCCTGTCCTGCGCAGAGGAAGGACAGAGGCATGAAAGAGAATAGTGTCAGCACGTTCTCCTTTGGGCTTTCTTTGCTCTTCTCCAGAATGTCACGGCAGGGATTCCTTTTAATGAGCAATGATGGCGTGTGTAGATTTTATTTTGGGAATTTTTTAAACATTAAAAAAAATATCATTTACAATGGCTTTATATTTTTGTAAATGAGAGACTTGTGGCAGACTGGTCAGGTATGGGGATTCTGAAGGATGACTTCCTGGGATCAAATCTCAACTCTGCCACTTACTAGCTGTGTGACTGTGAGTGAATTATCTGACCTCTCTGGGCCTCAGTTTCTTCATGTGAAAGGGGGACATGCTTGCACATAGGGCTATTATGAGGGTTAAGTGAGATACTCTGTGGAATACTGAGACGAGCACCTGCCTGCAGAGTGTCTAATAGGTACAATTATCCCTCATTTGTGATTAACACTTTCATATCCTTTAGGAAATTCCTTTTTACCATATCTGGAGTGGGTCTCAAAGAAACCTCCACTGCACCTTCACTCTGGAAAGATTTAGCCTGAACACAGTGGAGCTGGTTTGCAAACTCTGTGTACGGCAGGTGGAAGGAGAAGGGCAGATCTTCCAGCTGAACTGCACCGTGTCAGAGGTAAGAAGCTTCTGTCAATATCACATATTGGGGGTGGAAGGGACCCTTGAGGCGGAGTGGGGCCCATTCAGCTTGCCTTGCTCCACATGTCCAAAGTGAAGACCATCTTCCTTAGCAAACCAGGGGAGGGGGAACACGTGGGCCCCAGAAAAATCCATCCTCATCTCCCCCAGCCTGCTGGGGAGTGGTCATCCTTTCTTCCCATGGTCCTCAAAAGCTTTCTACAAGTCTTCCTTGCTAAAAGGATAATATTTTCAATGCACATGGGGAGCAAGATCCATAAAAGTATATAACAGGGAATTCTTTTTCAAAAACAAGTTGCATTTCTTCTGACATGAATGTAAGCAACATGTTCTAACTTTTCAAAACAGATCTGAATTTCAAGTGCAAGGTTTAAGTAGTGTGCACATGTAACTTTCCCCCAAGTGTCCCACATCCTCCATCTGTCCCTCTTCCCTTTCTGGTTCTTTTTCAGGGACCCCCCCCGACACACACACACCTTTGCCCTTATGTCCCATTAAGTGGGAGGAAAAGAGTGAGGCCTCTGCACCCCCATTTCTTTTCCTTCTCTTTCCTCATATTGTAAGGAGAAATCTCTCATAACATCATTCCCCAAGTATCAAGAGGGACGTTCTTTTCCCAGGGTAGGGAAATGTCTCAGAAATAATAGCCCAATCTACATATCTTCCCCCTTGTAGCTGTCATTTTTTTGCCTTTCTTTGCTATGATTTTCACACACTTCAGTTGGGCATCTTTATACAACCATATGATGGCCGTAACAATGATCACTGCTATTTAAAACTTCTCTGTAAGGAAAGAGGAGGTGCCCGTGACCTTATCTGTTCCCTTGGATCCAAAGGCGATAGTTTGAACACTGGTAACCCTTCATGCTGGAGGAACAAAGGAAAAAGAATAAGGAAGCGGTCAGGAGGCAGCCTCTCAGGGGCCTCTCAGAGATGAGTCCACACTGCTTGCTGAGCCACAAAGCACGGGACTGTCGTATTTCAAATCTTCAGCAGGCCAGTATATGATTTAAAATACTACTTCTCCCTCACTGTCTCATGCATAGTGACGAATGAAATGTCAGCCTGTTGGGCTCGCCTTGCTCCACATGTCCTATTTAAAGACCATCAGGCTCAGCAAACTAGAGGAGGGGGAGCATCCTTCTTTCCCACAGCCTGCCATGGTGCGGTCATCCTTTCCTCCTGTAGTTCCATGAGACTTTTGACTCATAAACAACTTTAGTCACAGACCCCAGTGACATTCATAAGGAATGATCTCAGTGTCAGGGTGCCATGGCAACCGCCGGGCCTTTGGATGCACAGCCCTATCTCCCAGGCACACTGCACCACCCCTGCTGGCTCCGGAGGGTGTTTTCACTTTCCAGGCCCAGCAGGTCTGCAAAGTTCAATAGCCACCCAGCTCCAGTGACAACAAAGGCTGAGGAATTTTGGAGGGGGGTGAGGAGGTCTGGTCCTTTGATGCTTGCGTTCTGTTCAGCATGAACATTTGCTGTGTGCTGAAAAGGTGGATCAGATGCAGCCATAAATGAAAGAGAGCTGCTCAGCACTCTCCCCTGCTCGGGCCCACCATCTCCTCTCAGAGAAAGAACACTTTTGCATAGTGTGATCACAATTTAAGGACTTTCTTTCTTGTGCCAACATAGAGGAAAGATGATTTCTTTTGCAACCGGGTGTCAGTCAGCTCAGAGGCCAGCCCTGCAGTCTCCTTGGAGGTAATTACCCATGTGAGACAGACAAGAGCATGTAACTGAGGAAGGAAGAAGTGACCAGAGTGGGGATGACCTTGGGGATTCAGAGGCACTCTGCTGACTCTCCTTCAGGGTCACCAGTCCCACCTTGTGCTTAGCATTTGAATGAGGGTCAGGGAACACAGAAGAGGGTGTGAGATCTTGTACTGAGGTTGGAGCCTGAGGCCCTGAGCTGATGAACAAAGGACTCTGGGGAGTCCTGAGACCCAAAAACTGTGAGAAGGGGTCCATTGTGACTGATAAACCATAAACAAATGGAGAAAAGGCTCCAGTTGCAGTTGTTTTCTTCTGAACTCTGTTCCTTCCTAGGGTCACAGGGCAAGGTGGCAGGTGGACTGGTGCTCCAATTCCAATGTCCTACCTCCCAAGAATGAGTTGCCTTGTCAGGAATATGTTGCCCCTCCCCCAAGTACCCCTCCTCCACCACCCAAGGGCACTCCCATAAAGCACATAGGCCTTGGCCTCACTGGCAGATGGATGACATACGTCCCCAAGTTTGTTTATCACAAGGTTGCACCTTGGGAGACTAGACTGTGGGTGACATACAGCATGAACCTCTCTGGTTCCTGTACCAAAGATTCCTGACTTTAATTATATAGAGATGAAGTTAAAGAATGAAAATGTCTAGAAGTCTGAAAGATTGGGCATGAATAAATACCAAAATGTAAAAAAAAAAAAAAAAAAAAAAAATTATTTTAGACAGATGTGGGGTGAATAATAGCCAGAATACCACAAAGGCAATAAATGGTATACAGAAAGAAACTTATAGTTTTTTAAGGCCTTTTCTCAGTTTTAGCTATAGACAAAGACCCATTGTAGTAAATTCTCAGGTAGATAGCTCTATAAGAATATGGGCATTGACCCCTTCTGGCCTCAGTTTCCTAATGCTTAAATTGTATAGTAATATATATGTTGGGCATGTTGTGAAAACTAGGTGAGTGGGTGTTAATAAATGCTGTGGACAAAAGTTGGCCCAGAGCCCATGCTTAAGGTATGTCCACCATTCTCACTGTTGTTAGGGGAACCAGTTCTCAAACTAACTCTGCCACCCAAATCTACAGAATCCTTCATCAACTTAGCTTCAGATTCCCTTTCTATGAGACTCAGTTTCTACATAGTACCAAATAAATACAAGCAAACGCAAATTAGCTCCCAGAGAAAAGAAAAGATGGCATATGTCCCCAAGTTTGTTTATCACAAAGTTGCTCATCTCATGACTCTGGACAATGGAAAAGTATTGTTTTAAGATGTTAGTTATCTAATAACAGCTTTCCAGATAAATTTGTTAGATCTTAAAATCTTTATGAACAGCTGATCCAGAGCACTTTCATATATACAAAAATATTAAAAATGTACAATGTAATATTACTCTGCTACAGCCATTCTATTTAAATCTCTTTTCTAGAACCTGCTTTTCTATAACCTCCTCAAAATTGGGAAAATTTAGTTTTTCTAAGTGATTTTAGAAAGAGAAGTCAGGTGTACTGGTACACAAGTATCGTCCTAACTACCTGGGAGGCTGAGACAGGAGGGTTACCTGGGCCTAGGGAATTCAAGGTCTGGCTCAGGGTTGGGCTCAGTGGTACAGCATATGCTTAGAACCTGTGGGGCCCTGAAATATGTGCCATCACCCATAGCAGCTGTTTGGTTAATGTTGAAAAATCTTATGTTTAAGAGAATCATAACATCAGAGACAGATGGTACCAATACCATAAACAATTATTGTAATAAGCATTCCATGAGAGTGATCTCTACTTTTACCTGGAAGTAAAAGAAAAACTAACAGTAAAAGAAATTACTAGATGAAATTTGAATGTAAATGTACATGTATTTTTTTTTTTATCTCCAAGGCTATTGTCAGCCATATGGTAAGAGAGACAAGAAATTATGCCCTATAGATCTTGTTTTGTCTACACAGAAAGAAATATACACAGTAGCCAGGATTAGAGAGCTCAGGATGTTAACGCCTACATAAATGGTGATGGTTCTTTACTCACCAAGAAAAGGGGAGCAACATGAATATGGAAGCAGACTATCCTGAGATCCAGGCCTATTTTTAACTGCCCTTTAACTTCAGGATCTAAAAATGAAAAAAGAATCAACCCACTAGTCACATTTATTTGGAAGAAAGATTAACACACTACTCCATGAGTGGAATTCTATGTCCTATACCAGGAAAAAAAAAATATTTTATCTCATTTCAACAAATATTGAGTGGGTTCCATGTTCAGAACACAAAGCTAGGGATCATAGCAGTCCTAAGAATGACAAAAATTCTTTCACCTTCACAAAATTTGAGAAATCAAAGGAGTCACACACAAGTTCAAGAAAATGCACAGGGCAGAATGGGAGGAAAGCAGAAGAACTGTGAAAGGGACCTAGGAGGCCTCCAAGGAGGAGGATGCCATTTGAGCCATGCTTTGAGGGATATGCCAGACAGAGGTGAGAGGGCAGAAGAACTGTCAGAGGGCACCCATGGAAATAGTGCTAGGAAGAGTGAGTGGTCTATTCTGAGAGTATGAGTCATATAAAGTCAAACCAAGGATGGGGCAACCTGAGAAAGGTTGGGGTCAGACTGTGAAATTGTGAAAGCTCTTACTCTGTGTTGGACCTAGGCTCTTCACTTTACATGCACCAACTCTGAGGTCTGATAAGAGCCACTGATACAGTTCATGAAAATATCTGTCACTGCTTAATGAAGAGTTGGGACTAAACTTTTAAGGAAGAACGAATACCATTCTTCTCAAATCATTCCACATAATTAACAGGAGGGAACCCTTCCAAACACATTTTATGAGACCAATATCATCCTAATACCAAAATGAAAGACATAGCAAAAAGAGAAAACAGACCAATACCCTGATGAACATAGATGCAAAGAAGAAAAAAAAAATGAGCCAATAGAATTCAACAACATATCAAAAGAGTCATTCACCATAATCAAATAGGTTTCATTCCCTGGATATAATGATGGTTCAATATATGCAAATCACTAAATATAATATATCACATCAGTAGAATGAGGGATATAAATCAATCATCTCAATAGATGCAGAAAAAAGCATTTAAGAAAATTTAACATCTCTTCATGGTACAAATTAGGTGTAGAAGGATCATGTCACAACATAATAAAAGCTATAATGACAAACCCACAACAAGCATCACAAACAATATGGAAAAATGGAAAGCATTTCCTCTGAGATAAGAAGAAGATAAGGGTATCCACTCTCACCACTCTTATCCACTATACTCCTAGAAGTTTTAGGCAGAGCAATTTCATAAGAGAAAGAATGAAAATGGAGGGAAGAAATAAGGTTATCCCTCTTTGCACATGGTAAAATCCTATAGATATAAAATCCTAAAGCTTCATTATTAGACTATTAGAACTGATAAGCTCAGTAATGTAGCAGGGTGCAAAATAAAAAATCAGGAGCTTTTTGATATATCAATAATGAACTAAGAAAAAAATCAGAAAAATGAATTCCATTCACAAAGCCTCAAAAATAAAATACATAGGAAAACCAATCTAGGAAGTGAAAGACTTCTACAATGAAAATGAAAAAAACACTAATGAAAGAAACTGAAGAAGACACAAAAATGGAAAAATTAATATTAATTAAAATGGCCATACTACCCAAAGTGATCTGCAGATTCAATGCAATCCCCATCAAAATACCAATTACCTTCTTCTTTGAAGAAGGAAAAATAATCTTAAAATTCAAATGGAAACACAAATAGCCAAAGAAATCTTGAATAAAAACAGAAAAGCTGGTTCTTCCTTTGGTAGCACGTATACTAAAACTAGAACAATACAGAGATTAGCATGGCCTCTGTGCAATTATGGCACACACATTAATGAAGCATTGCATATTTTCAAAGATACTGAAGTGAATGAAATACCAAATAATTCAAAAGTCTGATGTAAAAATGATCAATGAATTCAAGGGCCATAAGAATAAAGATCTGAATGAATTAAGGAAGAGAATGAAGTATGTAAAAGAACAATTTCATAAAGAAATATGGATTCTAAAAAATGACCAAGCAAATCTTAGAAATAAAAAGCTCAAAAACTCAAATAAAAATCATGTTGAAAGCCTTATCATGAGTAGCTCAAGCCTAATAAAGAAGATAATATTGAAGGTAAGGTTGACAAATTATCACCTTCAAATGGTAATGAAGAAAAATATAAGAATGAATAAAACACGCAGGATCTATAGGACATGATTATAAGATAAATGGTGCAAACCATAGGGGTAGACAAAGGAGAGAGATACAGGCTAAAGGCATAGAAAACCTATTTGTGAAATAATAGCAGAAGATTATCACATCTTATATGCACATCAAGGTATACAGGATGCATTTAGGACCCCAGAAATGATCAGAAAAAAACTCTCCATGTCATAATATAGCTAAATTATCAAAAGTACAGTACAAAGAAAGGATTCTGAAATCTGCAAGAGAGAAGTTACAAGTCATTTATAAACTCAACCCATAAGAACATCATAAGATTTCTTAGCAGAAACTCTAAATGTCAGAAGGACATGAAATGATAAATTTCAAGTTCTGAGAGAAACTAACTGCCAAACTAGATTATTCTTAATATAATAAGAAGAAATAAAGGCCTTCCAAGATAAGCATAAACAGAAAGAACTCATGACAATTAAATAAGTCTTACAAAGATTCTTAAAGAATCCTACACACAGAAAATAAAGCAAGATGAACACAAGCATAGAATATAGGAAAGACTAATTCTCACTAGAAGAGTAAACAAATAATTGGTAATGAATCAAGCATTATTAATTCCATAAGCCAACAAACCTTTAAGAAAGACATGAACATATATTATTCTAAACAACCAAAAGAAAAACAAGAGAAAATGAAATAATTGGTACATATAGATGGTCTCACTTCTCTAATTAAAAGATATATTCCATCTGATTGGATTAAAAAGCAAGACCCAAAAATCTGCTACCTGCAAGATATCCACCTCACTGACAAAGACATAAATGAACTGAAATTGAATATAGAAAATGATGTTTCAAGCAAATGGAATCTGGAAGCAATCAGGGGTAGCTATACTCACAGCCAACAAAACAGACTTCTAGCCAAAGGCAGTCAAAAGAGACAAAGAATATCAGTACATATTTAAAAAGGGAACAGTTCATCAAGAAAATTTAATGATTATAAGTATGTATGGCCCAAATATCATAAACATAGCTGGACATAAAAGTTACAGAGAGACCCCAAAACAATAAAGAAACACAAATTTAATTATACTATAGATCAACTATACTTAATAGACATCTACATAATAGTCTATCCAAAAGCTATAGAATATACATTCTTTTCATCAGCTGTTGGAACTTTTTCCAAAATATACCATACTTTAGGCCATAAAGCAAATCTCAACACATAAAAGTTAAGACAATTTCTTGCATTTTATCAGACTGTGATGGAATAAAACTAGAAATCAACAGCAAGAGGAACTATACAAACACATAGAGAATGTTCAATATACTTTTGAACAAACATGTCAATGAAGAAATCATGAGGGAAATTTATAAATTCCTAGAAGAAATAAAATGGAAACAAAACATATCAGAATATGGGGGTACAGTAAGAACAGCACTAAGCGGGAAGTTTATAGATATAAGTGTTTCCATTAAAAACAAAACAAAACAGACCTCAGATAATGATTTATCTCAATGTCCTAAGAAAAAAGAATAAAGCAACCAAAATCAGTAGAGGAAAGAATAATAAAGATCAGAGCTGAACTGAATGAAATAGAGACAGACTAAAAGAACTCTACGAAAAAAAAAATCAATGAAACAAAGACTTTGTTCTGTGAAAAGACTGACAGATCCTTAGCTAAACTAATGAAAAGAAAGAGAGAATACTGAAATAAATAAAATTAGAAACAAAAAGATATTACAGTAGCTATCACTGAAATCCAGATGATAATTAGAGACTATTTTAAAAATTATACTACAATAAAATGGAAAATCTCTGGAAGATATAGACAAATTTCTAGACATGTGTAACCTAACAAAATTGAACCAAGAGGATATTAAAGCCTAAGCGGATCAATAATAAGCAATGAGATTAAATCATTTATAAAAAAGTTTTGCAACAAAGCAAAGCCCAGGATTCGACAGGTACACTGTCAACTTTTACAAGACTCTTAAAGAAGAAATAACACCAATGTTCCTCAAGCTATCTTATAATATAGAGAGACAAAACTTTTTTACACTTGTCCTATGAAGCCAGTATTACCCTGTCACCAAAACCTGATAAGGATACAACAATAACAACAGAAGAAAACTTCAGACCAACATCCTTGATGGACACAGATGCAAAAATCCTCAATAATATACTTGTAAATCAAATTCAGTGATGCATTAAAAATATCATACACCGCAATCAAGTTGGTTTCATTCCAGGTATGCAAGGATGGGTCAACATACAGAAAACAATACATACAAAACAGCACCTAAATAGAACCAAAAACAAAAATCACATGATCATCTCAATAAATATAAAAAAAAAAAAACCTTTGATAAAATTCAGTATCCCTTTGTGATAAAATTTCTGAAGACACTAGGTATTGAGGGATTATACCTCAACATGATAAAAGTTATATATGACAACCCTGTGGCCAACATCACACTAAATTGGGAAACAGTGAAAGCATTTTCTCTAAAATCAGGAATGAGACAAGAGTATCTGCTTTCATCACTTTTATTCATTGTAGCACTACAAATGTTAACCAGAGCAATTGGGCAAGAGAAAGAAAAAAAAAAGTGATATAAATAGGAAGGGAAGAAGTCAAATTACCCCTGTCTGCAGGTGATATGAATCGAAGACTCTACCAAATGACTCTGAGAACTGATAAATTGAGCAATGTAGTATGATACAAAATCAACATACAAAATCCAGTGACTTTTTATACACCAATAATGAACTCACTGAAAAAGAAATTAGGAAAATAATTCTATTCATAAAGACCTCAAAATAAAATACCCGGGGGAAAAAACCTAACTAGGTGGAAATTATAAAACGCTAAAGAAAGAAATCAAAGAAGATACTAGAAGATGGAAAGACCTCTCGTGTCCATGTATAGAAAGATCACACTGAACCCTTATTAATATGTACAATTAATACTTATTAATAAAAAATTTTATGAGTTGGAACTTATGCAGGAGGAGGGGTATGTAACACTTCTTAATGAGAAAAGAGGAGAAAAGACAGAGAAATAGTGATGCCCATCGTTGGAACCCTGCAGGCAGATGTGCAGGATGGATCACAGTAAGCAGTAGGGAGTTTCTGTGGCCGACAGTAATAAGGAGAGTCTCAGGGGATACAAGTCAGAGCTTCAAAAGTCTGACTTCTCTCTTTGCAGACTTTAATCTCCACTGCCACCCAGGGACAATCAGGTGGTGGTATATTAGGGAGTATGGTAGATTTCCCTTGGCCCTGTCGTTATTGTCTAGAAAGGAAGAAAACAGGACTCTACACAGGTGATGGCACAATATTGTAGGAATAGCATGGGATTCCTCTTTGCTTGCACCCCCCCCCAACCCATCCATACTTCCTTCTATGTCCAATATGAGCACTGGGATATGTGTTCAGCTATCACAAACATAAATCCTTTAATAAACACTGCCATGCATCCTCAGATCACTCTTCTGGTTACCTTTCTTTAAACTCTATTCCCTAGAGGTCAGGAACTCTCTCTCCTGTTCTTCAGAAAGACCTCTGTGCCTGAGGGGAGAAGAGAAGCAGGTTGTGATATTCATTCAGGTATTCCAGCTCACATTGGATGCTTCTATGTTTCATACCACAGTCCTTTAAATCCTGGTATGTGCTGGAACTAACACAAAGGAGCCAAGGGAATCTGTTTGCCAAGCTTTGGATTTTGAGGCGAAACACTGTGATTGCAGCCAACACCACTGTGCACATTATAGCAAAAAAAAAAAAAAAAAAAATTAATTAGTTTTGCTTCAACAATACCCTACAAGTCCCTGGATGGTCCCTGTACAGTGGGAATTCACAAAACTAGAAGTCAGCAGCCAATTTGACTAGAAGTCAGATCCCAGAATACAGAGTGCACTGCCAGTTACACTGGGATGCATATAGCTGAGACCCCACCTACCTGCCAGTGTGCCAGCACTCACATATCTGTAGAGGCCACTTAAGCAGTGTAGAGCAGGTACAGGGGACTCTGGGAAACTGTGGCATTGACCTCCTGGGCTGAGCACTCTGCAGGACATCAGAAACTTCATGATGGCTGAGACTCTGTGTGGCTAGTTTATCCTCCAGCAACTAATTATGCATACCAAGGAGTAACTAACCTGCTTTGAGAGAGAGAGAGAGAACACGAGATATGACATTTAACATAGATTAAGTAGATTTTCTTTTATTGCTTTAATAGTTCCCAGGCAACATTTGCTTTTGCTTTTCCAACCAACAGAAGTGATCAGAAAATGATTAGAATTTCTCTTGCAGATGAAATTCCGATTTTTGCATTTGTGCTGTTTTATGAGCTGAAACTATTTTAAGAGCCAATTTATAGTTTTCTCTGCTAAAATTAGATTTTTTTTTTTTAAAAAAAAAGGATGTGCAGCAATTGGAGGATGCCTGCTGTTAGCAGCTCGCCCTAAGGCAATATACTGTGTTTATCATTTTCTATAAAAAAGTTTGTCTTAATTTAATATCGTTTAGACTTGTTCCATTTTACCCAGCAAGAAAAGAAAGAAGCAAACCACCTTCTGCAGGGTCAGAGAAAGAGTTTACTCAGGCACTGGTCCAGGGCATTTCCTTCAGGGTCAGATGGTTTCCAGTAGCTCTCTAATCTCAAATCTGTTCATTCTCAAAAGAAATGCCCTTTTGAACATTTTCCCTTCTTGAAATTTCAACCTTTAGGATTACTGATATTCCCTCTCTTCTCTCCTCCTAGAGAATCCCATTACAAAAACCATGATTGAATCACAACAGAGCTTTTCATCTACCTAATCCTTACCATAGATCTAGGAGGCAAGGCTATGCAAACTAGCTCAAAATGTACTTCTGTCCACCTCCAGGCCAAGTTACCTACAGCGAGGCCTAACTTTCAGGTCTATAAGAAGCCATTCTTACTGAGGAGAATAACATTCTCTTCTTATCACTCAAAGCAAGGCATTATGTTCATGAGTTCAATAGGGATTGCTTTTGTCCAGAAATAATGCTGTGCTGTTCCTGCAGGAACCTACTGGCATAGATTTGCCCTTGCTGGATCCTGCCAGCACCATCACCACCGTCACAGGGCCGAGCGCTTTCAGCATCCCTCTTCCCATCAGGCAGAAGCTCTGCAGCAGCCTGGATGCCCCACAGACAAGAGGCCATGATTGGAGGATGCTGGCCCATAAGCTAAATCTGGACAGGTGGGTGTGGCCAGGCTCCAAGACTGGTTTCTTTCTGTTACTTTCTGTTAGACACAGGTCTCCAGGACTGATAACTATTAGACATAACGCAGCATTTGTTTTCTTTCCCATCCATACATCTATTTACTTTTTCATTCTGCAAACCTGTATTAAGCTGCTTCTTTACATCTCACAATACAGACTTACAAACCTAATTCACAGATATATTCTTGGTTTGTTTGACATTTGTAAGCGTGGGGTTTTGTGACCTACTTTGCCAAGTTGATAGGCTAAATGCTCCTAAATATTATATTCATTCACTAAATTATTGTTCCTCATCTCCAGTGGAGCAGGACCTAATGCTTGGTGAATAATTATCATGCCAACATAGCATTGATATTAAGTTATAATGAGACCTCAGGAGCCTCCACTTTGTAGAATGTTGCCATCACCACCGGGCAAAGGATGTGGCACGACCTGTCAAAGATCCTGGGCTGGAAAGAAAACATAAGTCTCTTGATTTCCTGTTTAGGATATGACCCATAGACATCTTGTCTCTTAAATTATCTTACTCAGAGTTGAGGTTAACAAAGTTAAACATCACGTCTCCTGTCTGGAGCTGATCTAATTAAGTATGGGCTAGTCATTTAGGATGGCTCACTGTAAACCACAGTGGGGCCAAGATACTTCAAGACAGATGGAGAGACAGAAAAGTTCCGCCCTGTAACAACAGAAGAGAAAATAGATCCATAAATCTTGCCTTTCAGCACATTTTCCCATTCCCAATTACAGGTACTTGAATTACTTTGCCACCAAATCAAGCCCCACTGGTGTAATCCTGGATCTCTGGGAGGCACAGAACTTCCCAGATGGAAACCTGAGCATGCTGGCAGCTGTCTTGGAAGAAATGGGAAGACATGAAACAGTAGTGTCTTTAGCAGCAGAAGGGCAGTATTGACCACACTGGAAATGAAGGTGAAGGAGGAAAATGCACAGGGAGTCTGTGGCCGTCCAGGGAAAACACAGCTGAGGAGGAAATCCAAACTAGACCAATGAGCTTCACAGGCAAGATGGCAGCGGGAGAGAGAAGAACAGATACGACTACCAATGTACATGCCCACTTGACTTGGACAGTATCACAGGAGTTAAGAAAAATTGTGTAAATGTGTACCTTGAATTTAGAAGTCAACCTAATTTTCCTCTTAGTTGGGCTGTATGCTGTATGGTACAGGATCTTACAGTTTCCTAGGAAACGCTTTTTATTGCTATCCAGATATATGGATAAACTTTCTTAACAAACCCAATTTCTACAAATGTTGTTTACATCAAATTGGACAGGGATGCAGACACTGTCCATGGCGCATTCTATTTTTGTTCAAATCATTTGAAGTTGAAGCTGTGGACGGTTTGTTGTGTCTATTTCAGATTAGTAATTTACAAAGAAGTCAGACTTTTGCTACAAATCTCGTACATCCAGTGTCTCAGATAATCCTCCCAATCAATGTTCTGTTTCTAGAACTTGTAGAACCAGTGTTACTGTTTGTATCAGGGAAGGGGAGAATCTAAATGTAAAGGAGAAATGACTAAGATTCCTTATGCCTTGGGTGCACCTGCCTGGTGTGCTTTAGGAATAAAGCTGTAGCATTGCAGGGAAGATAGTGATTCATGTTCAAACGCTCAAAACATTTCTTCTTGGCGTGTTTGTAATATGAAATTTAAAGATTTTTTTTAAAAAAAGTATCATTATTATTATTGATGAGTATCTACAAGTATTTTAGTAAAAGGGTTTTCTTTTAACTTCTGTTTTTGTTAGCAGTACTGTTAGTATTTGGTATTGACTAGACCTGCCTCACTTCCTCACATAAGAGGTGGGTGGGGTGACCAGCTTAGTCCAACAGGCATTGCTTCCTTGACCTTTGACCCTCTTCTACCATTCTACCCTGGAAAGGTAGTAAGCACTCACTGGCTTATCAATCAGTTCTTTCAGCTTGCTCAGACAGGGTCTTTCTCCTTTGCGTCTTACTATGAGAAGTGTTCCCCCTGAATTTCACTTAGTAGTGTAGTTGTGTGTGCCACGTTGACTCTCCATAGTACTCTGTCTGCCTTAGGGGCAGTGTGGTTGGGAAAAGAGCTAGAAATCAGAAAACCAATTCTGTCTAGCTGAACTGCCTTGGGGAAGGCATTAAAACTCATTGGATTTCAGCTTCCTTACCTATAACATAAGGGGTGGGATCAGATCACCTTCAAGGTTCAACAATGCTGGACTTCCATTGTTAGGCCTCCAGTCTCATTCATCAGTCTGAAGATGATAACGGACTCTGACCTGGATCATTCAGTCAGCTAGCCTTCCCCCCAACACACTACATTATGCCTTTCAAATCATTTTGACTTGGCAGAGAATTATTCTAGCCTGCAATATATTTGTTCAGCTTTAAAGTCCTTTCTTTATATCCTTGCATTATGCTGCTCGCTGAGAGACGGCATCCCTTTAGTATCATGTTCTTCTCCTCTCATGGGACCCCTAGGTTTCTTGCCTTCCTGACTAGTGGTAAATTCTGCTTTGTTATTGTTTTGTTTTCTTAATATCAAAATCATTCCTACAAGTTCTTCCTGCAGTAGGAACTTGATGTGTTTTATTCCCCCCAGTCTTTGCTTTAATAATATTCAGTAACATTTACAAAGGCTACTTAATTAGCCCCCCCCAATTTTTTTTTTAACCTGTAAAATGTTAGTCAACAAACTCCTTTGTGTCAACAAGGAAGTTTCCTTGGGACCATCACAGGCTCTTCATTTAACACAGTGAATCCATTCATTCAGCTGGTGGGGAACAAAGTCAAAGCCAGAAGCCAAACCAAGACTGAGTGTGCTTAAATAAGAACATTCTAAACATGACTGTGGTTTACTTTAAGGCTGGAGGTATCCAGAATGCTGGCTGAATTTGAATTAGAAATCATTTTATACATTTTATCCCATCTTATAACATGTATTTCCTCTCCCATTTTGGATACCTCTTGATATTCTCAGATTTCTCCAGCCCCATGATTGAGGAACAGTTGGTACCTTGTTATGGAGCCTCTTTTGTACTATTTATCTTTTGTTTTAGATACATATTGTATAATCTCTCTCTAGCCAACCTGTGCATTCAAATTTCCATATATAAAAATATTTGTTCCACTGATCAGGAAGAGGGAGATTGCACTAGTACACAAGTTCAGTGGATAATGACTGTACCAATGAGATTTTACTAAATTAAAAAATTTAGATATTTTTAAAAAGAGCAGGAGTTATTGTCCATGGCTGCATCTTAAAATAAACTTGTCAAGATTGTTCTTTAGTACTGGTGTTGCAGAATCATCTATAGAAACCAAGAAATCTGATCTGGATATTCAAAGGAACTTTTGTACCTCATAAAAATAGAGGGGAGAAAATATGTAGTTATACATATGAAATCAATCCCAAAACTTTTGCTGAAAAATTTTGATTAAAAAAAATATCAACAAACAGTGAGCAAGCAGGAATGGTGTTGTTAAAGCCATTGAAGGCCCTTAGGGTTCACTTCAGAGGCTTGTTTTTTGGTCCAACCCCTCACCACTAGAAGAGGGAAGAATGATTGACTCCTTGCAAGTTACTCATCTATCACAGAGCTCATGTTTCCTATCAGATGAAGAACAACTTCCTTCCAAACAACACACCATATGTCAATTTTCACTAAGAATTCTGCTTTCCTTCTCTTTGGGAGTGAAGTAATAGCTGTTAGATTGCTTTCCAACTTAGAAGGTCTGGACAGAACAGTTCATTTCATAGGGAGCCACTTCATCACCATCCAATGTGCCACATCCTGCTTACACAGTTTGGGGAAGGCCGGCTTCCTTCATTTGGATAGAAGGAGAGAACTATCATTTGTGCATGGTGCCATCTAGTGGTGTGGAATGCAATCTGCCCTGAGTTTAATATAAGTTGTTTGACAAAGGGAATGTGTACCTGTACAACTCAACAGGACCTTTTCAACAAATAGATGTGGGGATATTATCACTTCAAATGTGTAATTTTCTTCTTCTCACAGTTTCACTTCAATCATCCATCTCAAAATTACATGTCATTATGAGCCTAGTACATCATCAAGTCATTCATACGCATCATTATTTGCTTTCTTGTAACAGAAATACATAAAATCTGTATAAAAGTCTTTGGAAGTTGTCATTTTTAACATTTATGGTTTTAACTGGGCTTTGTATATTTTAAATCTCCTCTCCTAATATTTATCTTTGGAAATGTAAGAGTATCTGCTTAGAAAGAAATAAGTCTTATATATGCAAATAGGAACACTATGTCTAAAGGAAGAGAAATTGTGACTGTTGATCGAGAAGAAGCCTTTCTTCTGAATTTGGGATTCTAATGGCAGAGGTTTCATCCTGGTTTTATTTTCTTTTCACAACCCTAATTCAGATTTTCTTAAAGTGATCTGGAAGGAATAAAGTTGGATTCAATATTGGCAACTGGGCAGACCATGATGCGAGTATGTGTGACACCAAAGAACACACAGCTAACAGCCTTTCATGGACATTTTCCAAAATGGACACTCACCTGTGATGCCAGAACCCCCTTCTTACATGAGTGGTCCAAGCTCTTGGAGGGCAGAGCACTGTGGGGTGAAGTGCCCAACACTAAAATGCATCATAATTAGCCATTTTCATATCCGACCATCAAAGAACAGAGCCATTTTTTAGGGAAAAGTCATGGGGCCTGAGTTTAGGACACTCTGGAAACCAGGCATGAAGTAAAGGGTCTTTAAGGGCCTTTTCCTGTAAGTGAGGTTATCTTTATAACCCATCATTCAGAAGGTAGGTAGACTCTAGACTTTTCTTCTGGAGAAGAGAAAACCAGGCTCTTGCCCTGAGTTTCCTCCTGTGTGTCTCTGTCAGGGACACAGCGGCTGTGCTCCTGGGTAATTCATGCTCTGTAATCTACACAAGAAGTGGGGAGCTGGGTTCTCCCCAGAATCCACAGGCCTTTGCTTCTAGAAGGCCTGCCCTAGGACCAAACATAAACCTGTGTAAGAACCTCCAAGAGTGGATAATGAAGGTGGAAAGGTTTACTTGTTGAATCTCAGTCTTCAAGCTGAATGTGAGTTTCAGCTTTTCATAAGCAGTTGTTCTGGACAGGGCATAAGTTTCATATGGAGACCTCAGTGCAAGTCCAAGGCCAATGAATGAAGGGAGTGCCACAGAAACAGCTGAACTGAAATCAGGCTCCAGCCATCTTCTTTGAGAAGAGAGAAGCCTTTGTAAATCAGAAATGCCATTGCTCAAAACCAATTATTCGTAAAGATGACCGTGGCCAATGACCATTAGATTTTATAGATCCAATAAGGAATATTTTTATTATTATCTCAAGCTAATAATTTTTTTAACCTTTCGAGTGCCTCATAGGACCAACTATTATACTTTGTTTTTGTATTATTTTTATATTTTTTAAATGTACTAAACTGATGTGACTGAAATCCTTAGAACTTTTCCTCTGTGCAATGAAATACTGTTTCTCTACCCTAAGAGATCTATTTGTATAATCTCTGGCTTTAATGATCACTTTGAAAGATTTCCTTTGCATCCCTAATGATTTTTTAATGAAATAAGGAATATGGGGAATAAGTATATTGTAACCAATGTTAATTTAAGCTTGTGTCCATATAGGATAAGTAAGCCAAATGAAGTCATAATTATTTCCAAAATTCTGGCCTGAAAACCTATTTTTGAAAAGCGGGGAGATGCTCTTGTATGTCATGGGTAGATTTTCTCTACAGACTAGGTCTAACAATGAACTTCCCTCCTGGTTCTTTCATCTCACTGGCCATGTGGCTGTTCACGTTTTACTGTTGTCAGAAGAGTTCATGGCTCCTAGGTTTTCCAGTGGGCTTGGCCACCGCCTGTATTGATCTGTGGTGGGACATTAATGGGCTCATTCAACCAAGTGTATTGTATGCCTCAGGCATGTTTTAGTGTGGTTGGGGAGGCATTACCAGGACAAACCCACAGGGCTCCACAAATGTATGAGCGCACAAAACCAAGCAATTCTCAGGGGCTGTTCCCCAGTCCTCTGTGTACTCACACACTTGCATACTCAAACCGATCTTTCCAGAAATTCTCAAAATCCTAAACTGGAAATCCCTGTAGAACATCACCGGCAGTCGTGGCCCCACCAGTTGAATAGAAAACAAGGAAGCTGCCCCCAGGTAAAATCAGCTGCCCAACAGCCATTGTGTTACCCTACAACAGCAGCATTTTATCATACCACTTCAAATTTGTGCTTTAGCAAGGTTATCAAGTGCAGATCATAACACTTCAGGCTCCCTTACAAATAAGTCTAAATCATGGGTCATCCTTGAGGTCTACTGGAGGAGGCACTATCAGGCTTGCTGTGGAGCTGGATGCCACTAACAGGGGTGGAGCACTCCCCGTTGTGGATTTTGGAACCTGAACTGTGTGCAGCTTTTACTGATCTGCACCCTAGAGGTTGATCAGCTCTTGGCCTTGGATCCTCAGCACTATGGTAAGGCAACATCAAAAATCATGGCTTGAGTGTGTTCTAGATGTTAAAGCAAGGCTTGTTTTAAAATAGCATAAAAAATCTACAGCCAGTGGGAAATGCCTTTGCCCTTTTGTATTCCTAAAGTCCTCAATGACATCTGTAAATGTAGGGGTGTGACCTCAGTTGTATAGTCCTCCAGGCCTTGGGAAAGAAAAAAAAGAGCAAGAATCAGGACGAGCTCATCAGGTGACTTGCCTTCTTCAGTCTTACCTAGACCTGCTGTTGACAGTGAAGCCCTCGCCCAGACAGAAGGCATTGGGCCCAGATGCAGGGAATATTATCATTGTGTGTGTGTTGGATGTCACAGTGTCGTCTGTGTTGAATGTTGAGCTGTAGCATGGTGACTTCCTCTTTGCTCTTTCTAAAGATGACAACCAGGGTTTGTCAGAGAACAACTGGCAGCGGTCTGAGTTGGAGCGGCTGGCTCGTCCTCCTGTTGTCTTCTTTGGAACAGTTCAACCGCAGAAATGTCAGATTGAGGTTTT